TTCAATTTAGTCTCTAATTTCATATTTTTACAACCCTTTTATTTCTTTGTCTTTTTCCAATTTGGTCCCTGGACTTATATTTTTTTTATAATGGCACCCGTTTTCTTTTAATTTCCTCTCAATTTCACCCTAAATGCATTTAAAATGGTCCCTTGATTTTGGAGTATTTTTTAATTCAATCATTGGCTTTTCAATTTTCAATTTCAAGCCAATTTCAAACTTTTTTTTCTATTACTTTTATTTTTTTTATTCAATACTTAACTTTTCATTTTTAGCTAATTTCAAAATTTTTCTTTAAATTTCTCCAAAATCTAACATTGATTGCATTACAAATAGCCTCTTGATTTTTATGCATTTCTCAATTCAGTCATTGGTTTTTTAATTTTTAATTTTTAGACAATTTCAAACTTTTTCTCAATTGTTTTCATAATTTCATCCGTAATTGCAATTTTCTTCAATTCTTTTTCTTTTCCTTTTTTTCTATAGTATGTTTTCTATTTTTCTTTCTTTTTCAATAACAATTTTATTTTGGAACATTGTTTGGGAAATTATGACTTGGAAACTTTTTTTTGGATGAATTTTTTTGTTTTTTGAGGGGGGTAAAAATCGGGTTATAACAATAATAATAAAAAAAAAAACATAAAGTAGTTTACCTTAAGTAAGATGCTTTAGAGTGATTTTATTTTTTCCTTTTACATAACTAGCCCTTACCTCTTACAAATAATGAACACTATTTCAAAAGGTTTTTATCCTACATTGAAAAAATAAGACCTTTATATAGTGTTTATATAATGAACTTTAATATGAGATAGTAACCAACAACGAAATGATAATGGGCTCGTGCGTATAAGGTTTAGTTGACATGAGAAAAACCTTTGATTCCCCCTTTCCCCATGCGCGAGGCAATGTCTATACTTTCTGAACCTTTTATATAATGAAACAACAATTTTTCAAAAAGTTGAAATCAATTTTCTAACAGTTACAAAATCTAAATAACTTTTTTATTTAAAACTTTTTTAACAGTTCTAACTCTTTAATTCCCTAACAACTCTTTTATTTTTTTAAATTGTTATAACAACTCTTTAATTTTTTTAATTTATTTTATGTCTAACTATTACATATTAGCAGCCTATAGGGTATTTAAAAAAACCAATTAACCGAGAAAACCGATGGATAATTAACCGAGAAAACCAAACAAAGATGGAAAACCGATTAAACTAATTTTTAAAACCATAAAAACTTGCCGGTTCGGTTCGGTTTTAGTTTTACTACTGAAACCGGTGAACCGAACCGGTCCACCCATAAAATAAAGTTAATAAACAACCTATAAATAATACAATAAACCGAACACTAATTGATAACATTATATGAAAAGCCGCCGCCCATACCAGAGATGATTTATCGCCTTCTTTCTTTCCCTTTCAATTTTCATGCACTATGTGTCTCTGCCCCCTGCATCTGTCTCTTCTCTAGCCGAACAATAAGTCAATAACCCACATCTCCGCATCCATCTAGTAACTTGCAACCGAACAAAAACCCTTGGCTTCTCTCTTCACTTACAACAGAAAAAGAAGGCTCTGGCAAGGTAAAGTTTATCCATCTTTGACAGTGCTTCCATCCTCAAGACATGGATTGTACTGCGTCGACTACAAGCAAATAAAAAAGGATCCACTAAAAAAGAAAGGACATTATTAAGCAGAGAGGCGGATGATAAAAAGCCAAATAGGACTAAGAGGGATGATAGAGGAAAGGGAAACCAAGGGGAAAAATGAAGTATGTGGAGAGGGAAACTTCCAAAGCCTTAGATTCTCTGTTCATGATAGCATGTTGGTCCATTACCACATCCATGACTAGGTTTCCCAGTTTTTAAACCAAAAAACCCAAATTTAACCGAACCGAACCGGTTATTAAAATAGCCATTACTCACAAACAAAAAAAATAAGAGAAAAAACTTGCTCTTCCAAGTATTTTTTCCAAGTGTTAGAAATGGTTAGGAGGAGAAGTTTGAGAGAGAAAGAATTGTTGCAAGAATAAGAAGAGTATTAAGCATACTTTTATCATAATTACAAGTTTTCTATTTTAGCTAATAACAAATAAAAGGTATAAAACCCATGTTATAAGATTTTTAGCTAAGAAGTGGATATTAAAATACTTTATAGTGTAAGAGCACATAATAAATATAATTCTCGTCACTTAAGTGAAAATATCAAAACATATTGTCATAACTCAATCTTGAATCCCCTAAAAAAAAATTTATTAAAAAAATACATTTTATTTTTTATTCAAAAAAATAATAAAAAACCCAAAAATATTTTTAGGACACAAGGAGATAAGCCCTCTAGCTGCAATTGACCAAAATAACTAGACTAGGATATTTTGACACGATGGGCTGAAGAAAGACTCAATAGAAAGAAAGTGGAGGTTGAAATCCAACTTAACTAAAATTAAAAGAATTAATTAAGTTTAAGAACTTAATTAAACTTTTAATAGGTTTAATTAGCTTAATTAAATATTTAATTGAAGAGAAATTAAGTTTAAAAGTCAATTTGGCCAGAATCAAAAGAATTAATTAGGTTCAAGGACCTAATTTAACTTTTAATAGGTTTTATGGATTCAATCAAGGATTTAATTGAAGAAAAATCAAGTTTGGAAGCCTAATTTTGATCAATTCACAAGGATTAAAAGATTAGGGACACAATTCAAACTTGGAAAGGCTAAATTGATGCAATCAAGGGTTTAATTAAAAGAAATTTAACAATTGAAGGCTTATTGAGGGTTAGGTTGAAGAATTTCAAAACCAATAACCAAAATAAATAAGGCATGTGAATTCAGGGACTAAAATTAATTAAATAAAGGTTCTACTTGAAAGAAATTAAAAGTTTGATAATTAATAGGGGTGAAATTACATAATATGCAAACCAAGAACAAAAGGGCAAAAGACGATCAAATTAAAGGATTTAAATCAAAGTTTCCAGGGGTGCAATTACCAAAATTGAAAAGTTTCAAAGTCAATTGAGGATTCATATGCTTAAATTGGAAGGACAATGACTAAATTGAAAATTTTCTAAAATCCTATTTAAAAACCCTATTTTTTCGAGTTTAAATGAACGACGTGTCACTTAGATTTTAATAAAGAGAATGAATGATATGATGTTCGATTATAGTGTCTTTTTTTTTTTATCTAAAAGGCTGATCAAGTTACCACTTTCAGGCGAATGAATATGACATCTCTAATCACCTTACAGGCCCCAACCTTCACCACTTAACTTAGAAACATCTCATCTACAAGGACTACTTATCCTCATCACATGTTTGTACATTATTCAGCTCAATGAACTCAACAATATCTTGTCCTTAATCAACCACCTCTGCATTGGCAGATTCAAGTTAATTGAGAGCTTACCTTCCAATCAATAAATATGGAGTTTTAGACCTTTAAATCCAGTGTAGTTTGTTCCTAATGAAATATTTATATCCCCTCTAGAAGGTTTAGGTCAATAAATGATATGTTTAAGGCTCAATCTCCACAATGATCTTGACAAAGTATCTAACTCAATTATCTATAACTGAAGAAAAACACACCATAATAGAAAAGACTCAACAACTATTTTCTCATGTGTGATTTTAGTTTACTAAAAGACAAAAAAGGACCAAACACCACCTATTTCAGAGAGGAAGGTTTTGGAAAAGAAAGAATAAAAATCTTTCATAACAACTTCTTTGAAAAAACCATTATGGTGTTGAAATTTTTTGTTTTATTTTTCTTATAAAAGAGCATTTACTCTTGAACAGAGGAGGGGGAGTTTTGGAAAAAAGAAAAAAAAAAGCTTAAAGAAAATTAAACCACTAAAGTTTTGTGATATAAAGGCCATAAAGTATTGATAAGAAATGAAAGGAAAGAAGTAGAAGGTAGAGCTTGTGAGTCCAAGATTAGAAGCAGAAATACCAGAGATCTAAAGCTTGAATAAGGAGAAAGAAATTCCAAGCAAAGAAGGCAACATTGTTAGTCAAGGTATACATTTAACTTTGATGAGGAGGTGTAGCTCAGTTAGCACACCCCTCTATTTTGTCTTTGAAATTTCTATTTAAAATGTTTATTATACATCCATTATAGTCATTTATCAGTTTAAATGACATGAATGTTTGTTTTAAAGAGTTTAATCATACCTTAAAAGTTAGCTTGTACAAAAAATAATGGTATCTCCAATTATTGCCCTTATGGGATGTAAAATATATCTCTTCTCACCATCCTTATAGTGTATGAGATAAATGCATGCATTTTGATTAAGGTTGTATTATATGGTTATGATTTTTCCATATATGTATTTTTCTTTCTGTTGAAAATTGATTTTACGGTATAGACATTTATGACCTCCCCCTATATGCCTTGCAGTAATGATTCATCTGGCATTATAGCCTTTACCACAACGATGTTGCCCATAGATCAAATTATTTCGTGTATTGGATTGCACTTAACTGTCTATAGCTTCATTGAGTATGCTCGGGGCAAAAGTTTTGTATAAATGTATCATCATGCTATTAAGTATTTTGATTTAAGTTCTTTTCTTTTTAAGAGGTGGAATAGAATAATCTGGTTGAACCGTAATGATCATACGTCTGTAATGCATTATATGTCCCATAATAGGTCTCATTCTTCTACCCTTTCATGGGAGTAGATGGCTATTCATAGCTATTACCTTGACATTAGAGAAGAGCTTGACCCAATGCTTTATTTTTTCCCTAGTTGATCCTGATTCGACATTAGAAGTATATTGATTTTTCAATAATAATCGAACACTTTTATTTGTAACTACTGTATATTTGATTCCACCTATAAATCTATTTTCTTTCGTATGAGTTCTAGTCTCAATAAGAATACTAGTTTTTATTGTTCATATGTTATGATATGAATATACCACACCAATTTGTTATATATGGATGATGAGATTCCATTGATACAAAGCCAATTCCAATAGATTTATTAGAGGGTCTAATTGGTGTGCATCTAGTAGGAATCGAACCTATGAATTTACCAATTATGAGTTGGGCGTTTTAACTATTCAGCCATAGATGAATAGCGGGGATCCTCACACATGGTAAATAACCAAATTTCAAATGAAATAAAATCTTTAGGATAAATCAATGCAATTTAAATTTAGAAGGAATCAATGAAAGGACATCAATTCAAATCTTGGATTTTTAAATTGAGAGAGATCAAGAATTCTCACTATTTCTTATATTCATGGACCCAATTCAATTTAGTGGGATCTTTCATTCACTTTTTTTTTTCCATCAAGAACATTTTATAAAACTCTTAGACTCTTGAATTTGAAGTATCCTATTTTCACGCAATTCACAAGGTTCAATAAGCAATTGATATTTCACTATTGGTGTAGTACTATTTGTAGTACTGGTACTTATATATCGTATTAATAATCAAAAGATGGTCAAAAGAAAAACTCTCTATTTGGCAGACTTCTTCCTATACCTATGAATTCCATTGGACTCAGAAATGAAATATTGGAAGAATCCTTTAAGATATTATTTTAGTACGTATGCCTATGTATTATGTATATAGGGTTATACTTTACTTTATCTTTCTTTTTTCTGGAATTTTAACTTTAACAGAAGGATTCCTTTATTTAACAGAAAGATTCCTTTACTTAACTAATGCAACGTAGTCAACTCTATTTATTAGAACAACTTCCATTGAGTCTCTGCACCTATCATTTTATATTCTTATTTTGTCTTTATGAACCTTTGTTTATTTTTTGTTTTATTTTTTTTAGAAATAGAATTTAGCTCAAGATTGCCCCTTTTTTTTTCTAGGGTTTCTCTGAATTTAAAAGTTATCACTTAGTAAGTTTCCATACCAAGGCTCAATCCAATTACGTCTAGAATCTACAAATTTCTCCATATCCCCTCTTTATTTTGTGTTTTGAGATTCAAATCTTATTATTATGTTACTATGTCATTCCTTTTTTTCTTTCATTTCTATTCTACTAGAACTGTTAAAGTCATTAGATACCGATTTCTATATTCCTAGAAAAGTGTTTCCTTTTATTTTAATAATTTATTTGATTTCTTGTCTAGCCTCTCTCATATCGTTATGAGGTTGAGGATGAATTGTGAGTTGTCCTCTCAATCTGATCACCTCTTCATAAAGCAAAAGTATTTGTTTAACCATGCTCTCAATCTAGGGTTGGATGGACGTACCAGCAGCAATGCAGGCATCCATGATATGCCCTAGTGTGTATGGATCAGCCATGGCGGTGTGCTAGATAGAACTGCACGTTAAAGTTTACTTTCTTGTTGAAGAAGTAATTAGCTTTTTGTAAGGTCCCTATAAACAGCGCCAATTGATGAGGTTATAAAAATCACAGGGGATATTCTCGGATGAATTATTCCTAGAAATTCTTATACATCATTTATGGTGAGTTCTATGACCTCCACTTCAAGATCACGTAGGCTTCTTCTTTGTCAAATCTTTTCCTGGGGGGATATGAAACTCTTCTGCACAAAATCCCCTAGGATGTTGATGGGGAACCTTCTGAAAATCAAATCAGTACTAGGAATATTTGTGTAAAAAAAAAAAAAACCAACATTACTAAAGATATTGATAAACTTTTATGAAGATTGAGAAAAGGTTGGGAAAAAAGATCTAGAGGTGAGAAGAAGAAGCTGAGAATGTGTTTATGTCTTTGGTTATGTCTCTCCTTTTCTGTATATTTCTATTTTCTTTTATATTACCTGATTTGAACTGCCTCATGCTATGTAGGAAAGGTAAAAAAGTAATCTTGTATTATTAAATAATATTATCTCATTACCCGTACCATCATATCTAATTAATGTAAACATGAACTATTTGTTCGTATTTAATGGGATTATAATAGGTATTATAATTATTAACTTAAACTTGAGGGATGTTGGGTACGACTCACACCCTGAGCCCAGGAAAAATCGAGTCTAGCTCATGATTACACCCAAAAATGAGATTAGGGGCAGCCATGCCACAACCCAACATGAAGCTCGGCATGATCTTGTTTCTAATCCAATATAAGGTTGGGCACGAACACATCACCACATTGAGTTAGGTGCTAGCGCGAAGTTAAGCACAATTGTACCCTTGTCCAATATAAAGTTAGGTACAGTCTTCCTCCTACCCAAGTCTTGCTCCTACCCAACTTAGAAGTAAGTGAAAGGCTGGGTATATTCATGCCGCTACCCAACTTAGAGTTAAGTGAAGTTGAGTACCGAGAACATAATCTCATCTGGAAGTATCACTTTCTTGTGTTAGCTTTTAAATAAGATGGGTTTATAAAAACCATGACCCATCAAAATCAATGACAAAAAATAAACACACTGTAGACTGGAATCCTAATCGATACTTTTAGCTTTATACTTAATGCTTAATTAATATAATATAATATTTATATATACTTCATGATATACAATGTATAGATACAGCTGCACATAACTAGAGACCAATGATCTGCCATGCTGACAGCAGAAATAAGCCCAGACTAGAAGGAAAAAACCTTCCTAAGATTGAGATTATCTTATCATTCTAGGGTAAACTTCTAGCTTAAAAAGAACAATATTAATTATATGTTTAGGTTACAGACCTTTTCCTCTTCCACTAACAAAATTCCATAACATTCAAGCCTAGCTAACTGTACAATTGACTCTTTTCTGGCACGCAGTATTTGGTTAGGAATGTCGACAAGTGTGTTCATATATACAGTTGGGATAATCATTTGCCACTTGGTTTTCAGGTGCTTGGTGCCGACTAATCATCCTCCAGGTTCCAGCTCCATGTGGTTTTTTAGATCTCTACAAAGTTTAAAACAAACACTTAAAAACATGGATCTGGCAAATCAAGTATAGTTTAAACTCACGTGATTAGAAGTGACACTGGAAATGGAAACTGTGAACTCACATGCAGCGTGGTACACGGCAATCTGTTTGTCTGCAAATTCTCGCATGGAGCTTCAACATGTACCATACCTTCTGACAGTGTTGACAGCCCCCAAAGGACCGAATGCTGCACTTCCTTGCATGGCAGAACAACCTTTTAATTTGGAGGCATTTTGGGTAAGAGCAGGGGTCACTACTTGTTGCTCGACAATTAGTGGCATGCATTAAAAGATTTAGCAGTTCCTTTTGTTGCTGTGCCACCAAATGAGAAAGATTTTGTTCCTTCAGCTGCGCCACCAAATTAGCAAAATGTCAAACAGAGCATTAATATTCTAAATCCATTACATTTCTGGCAATGCACGCACGCACGCACACAGGTCCTACATCCCCTATGCATGCATGAGAAGAAAGAAAATCAAACACGAAGAACTTGAATCATTTGTATTAAAACAATGGCTTAAAGACCAGTAACATGTGAGGGAGATTCATCATGCCTGAAGTGCTTCTTGATGGGCATCTACATTCTCAGTTCCATAATTAGCTTCTGGAGAGCATTGATTCAACTTATAGACATGCAAAGAACTGTCTTTCTTGTGATAGCACGCAGCACAGACATCTCTATCCAGTGTATCAGTATCCTGATGACAAATTTTGCACATTGTCCCAGCTGCTGGCAGTGTTGGATTATGAAGATTATGCAGGATCATCATTGATGAATGCTTGGCTCGGCGAAGTGTATCAAACTGATAATGATACTTCTGACAAAGACCCAAGAAAGTATGTCTATTATCGAAGTGCCAGTTTTCTAAAATAGCATCATTATCCTCAGTATCGGATGGTATCCCCTTGACCATAACCTGAAAAGAAAAGAAAGAAATAGGTATCAATTGTGTCATCTTTGCAATTACAAATATCATCCTGTAATTTTAGCAGGGATTCTCACCTTAAAGAGTAAATGTTTTTCCTTGTTATTTAAGGAGTGCGAGTCCTCCCCATTGAGGCTTTTCTCTACAGCATGGCATCTGCAATGCGTATTGAACTACAATTAATTTCCAAGTAATAATTCCACCATTTGGTCAGAAAATAGTGGGAAACAATGTTTCAAGTAAAATGACAAGCACCATCATGGTTTAAGGCGCCATTTAAATTAATTACCTTTCACATAGCTGAAAATTTTTGCACTGTCGGCAAAACCATCGGCTTCCAGATAACATCACTTCATGACAATGAGTGCATACATGTTGTAAATGAACAACCATGAAGTCCTCCTTGCGACCACACATGGGACCACCCCTCAGCTGATCAAGGGAGAGAGGAATATAACAAAAATTAAAGAATAGCATAGTTAAGTAACAAAAAAGCAATCACTCAATTAGCTTCACCGTTGTATGTAGTGCAGGCTTAAATAATTTTAATTCTAAAGCTTCAGAATTCATAAAAGAAACAAGTGTCAAAACAAGTAACATGTAGGCCATGCATGTGCAAAATTATGCTGCTACACATTTTCCCTTCCTGTAATTCCAGTTGCTTTGGAAAGTAATAGGTATAAAATCAAAAGCCAATAAAAATAGCTTAGATTTAGATACTTGGGACGGTTGAGAAACTCTAAGATGTTATCTGAAAATTTGAATTAATGCCCTAAGAAACCATATCACTATAACTAATATCATGAACTATTAGTTTTATTATTTCAGGAGTCTAAACTATGCTTTATGATGAAATGATTTACCTTGATAGATATAGTTTCTGCACTACAAAGTTTTCCATGTGTAAGAGATAATTGAAACAATTAAATAAGAGATGGTTCTGCTATTTTGCAATACACTTAGCAGCTACTTAGTTAGATATAAGAAACAAACAAGTTTAAGCTCAGTTTTGCCCCATCAACTCCTAAATTATTCATTGAAACTCTTAGTTGACTATGAAGTCACAAAGATAATGATAAACTTACAATGATTGCATGAACAGAAATATCTAACAAAACAAATAGAAAAAAAAAAGTACTGAAGTTCAGTGGATTACATGATTTGTTACTAGAATAGCTTTGGTGTTACCACCAGAGGACTCTGTGTGCCCCATGGCTTTTAGTGTTCTTTTTGTCATTACTTTCTTCACCTTCCTCTCTGCATATACTCCAGTTTTCTGTTCAATGTTCTT